CCTCCCTCCTCCTCCTCCTCCTCCTCCTCCTCCTCCTCCTCCTCCTCCTCCTCCCTGCAGATCAGGTTGCCTCCAGAGCCCCTCAGGGGACCCTTTTTGGGGACCCTGTACTGCGATGGCGGCGGTGCTTCCTTAGGCCTTCGCCCAGATAGAAGCACATGTATACAATATATAACGTAGTTGTAGGCTACGTACAACTTTGGTAAGGGAGTTGTAAACAGTGCAAGATGAAGCTAAGTACATAGAACTATCACGGCCCACTTCTATGCAGTTCACACACATAGCATTCACTTGGGTGGCTTCGTAGGTGTACTTAGGGTATCTTGGGTAAGTAGTTCTGGCACTTCGCTTCGGAGCTTAGAACCATTTCGGAGGTTAGTTAACCGAGTTCGTAACCTACTTAGCCACCCCCCTAACCACAGATAGCAACCAGGTTAGCTAAGTCCACTAACCTGGTTAGCTGGGGGTGGGGAGGGAGGGCGCGCCAGCCCAGAAATGAGAGTGTTGACCAATTTTTCCGATTAACGCGGCCTGGATTTGAACAGCACCACTGCCATTTTAGCATCTTTCTGAGACGATCTATCGACATTCCTTGGCAGCATACTGAACATTGTTGGCCCGTGCATTGCGTATTCTTTCTGCACAATGGCATCTGGTAGCACAGTGTCAACGAAGCTGGACGAGCTGGCACCGTCGATCGTGGCAGAGCTGGCGAAGTACGACGATGTAGATAATAACCAGCCGAAGCAGATGAAGGCATCAAGTGATTCAATCGTCAGGTGGCTGCTTGATGCCGGGCTCGCTTACGTTGAAACCATTCCTGTAAAACATATAGGAGCTCATACAAAGAACCGCCACGGACTTGGCCTAGATATCCAAACCGTCCAATCGGTCATGAAAGACATTACTACCATGGGTGGAGTGATATTGAAGTTGCTGGCGCCAGGGCCTTTGAGAAGTCGGAGGTCCCAGGTATTCGCAAAGCTCAGTGTGAAATCCAAGACTTTCTGTA